GAACCAGGCTCAGGACAGGCGGCCATCTGCCTCGACCGGCTGGGTTGAGGGACAGGAAGAGACACGGCCTAACGCGGAAGAACTGGTCGAGACACGCCCTTTCCAGAATGCTGTTTTTATCAGTTACTTTATGCCATGAAGTGAAGATCCTCTTTATCCTGTTTGATTTACAGTGAGAAAACAAAATACTGTAATTARTTAAGGTACTATAAATTTCTGCGTGCGTGTTCATATTTTTTTAGGCTTCATTACTATTTGGTAATATAAATGAAATCATCTTCYTTTCCAGTAATGCGGGACACAATTTGAAGTGCTGGCCATGTGCTTGAATTGCAAGTTGTTTGTAAGTAGGCTAATTAAATTCAATCMATGGCATATGCCACAAAATGTATTTGTAGTTTATCTAAAAGAGTAAATGTACCTTTGTTTTGTTCGTTCTGCAACTGCTAAAAGCTTCTCCATTGAACCTGTTGTCAGGTAACGTGTATTTTTTTTCATATAAATATAATATTTATCAATAATTGGATTGTTCCTTTTATTCTTCTGTTTAGCAGCTTGTCTGTGGAAAACAAGAGCAAGATGCTCTTCTGTTCTTTTCAATGATATCGTGTGTTGGTAAGTTAGAAGCAGGTATATTTTCAAAATCAGTATATTTATTACTGTTTTATAAATTGCTTTGGATATTTTTAAATTTAGTGTTTTTGCAAGTAATAGAGCAGAGGTTTTCATGCAGCCACTTAACCTATTATCCACTAGGTAAGGTTTTGACCAAAAGTTTTTGTCCATAAAATGTTGCATAAAGATACCTCTGCAGGCTGTTTTGATTTTTGTCTTGAGGGTCAAGGAATGTGCAGGACAGTAAGATGAAATCTGAATTGAAATTATATTGTGTAATATCACATAAATTATAGCAGTACAAGGTGAAGTGAAGGTGCACCTGGACCAGTTCTTCTGAGTTTGACTGTGTCTCTTTCCTGTCCCCCAACCAGCTGGTTGAGGCAGATGGCCGCCTGTCCTGAGCCTTGTTCTGCTGGAGGTTTCTTCCTGATTAGCAGGGAGTTTTCCTCTCCACCTTTTGCTCAGGATGAGAGACTGTGATGAAGTGATTCAACACAATCTGCTGGTTTCTTCTTTAGATTGTTCTTTTTTCGTGTACAGTGCCCTGAGGCAACGTATGTTGTGACTTGGTGCTATATAAATAAACAGAATTGAATCAAAGCGAATTGAATAGCATTGTCACTACTCGTAGCATATC